TGTTCTGAACTCTAGCAGAGATTTGCGTCACTCAACGGTAATGACTACGTCGTTATAGGTCAGTAGGTCCATTCGAGCCAGTGTGAAAAGGAAGGTGTCCTTGTTCCAGCAAGGACAATTTACCATGGAAACTGCCATTTGTGTTCCCTTCTGAGGTCAGCTGCCTCCATGTCAATTTAGTCACCTATAATTTTGGCAAATATATTTTTCATAAATGGTAGCTGCAAAGAGTGCCCTTGTGTTGTCAATAGAAATGTTATGCAGCCATTTGAAAACTGTCACTTAGCTCTTAAACATATCTTCATCTGAGAGAAGAAAATGATTCTGAGATTATAATACCCTGTGTCAGTTGGAAAGTAAGGCACAGAGAAGAGACACTTAATTATTTTATCATCACCTCAACAAGTCAATTTTCCTAAAGTGGAAACTTAGCTCTGCCTTTAGTTAGACTTTGCAACTAGCAACCTCCCTGACCTCCAGTTCTTGGCGGGCTCCCGGGATCCTGCCTCTTTCGAGAGTGCCAGGGCTACATACAGAGCCAGCCTTTCTCTGTGCCCTGACCAAGAGCTGTCACTCTCCAGTTCTGGGCTGTGCCCATCTCCAGAGAGGGCCACTCTGCCTGCAGGCTTCCCTTTGGCATGCAAATCATGGTGACATTGGAGAGAGGTAGAGCTGGAACCTACTGAGATCTTTCCACTTGGGTTTTTTCCCCATGGAAGGAAAGAATATATGGTGCTATTTTTATCTTGAGAAACTCCTGCGTTGAAAAATGAATGCAGGAAGGCAGATTTGGATTACAACATACAAGGACTTATTTTACTCTCTCCTCCTTAATGTGAGCAGAGAATGATCTTTTCCAAAGAGTCGTGCATACTGACTGACTTGTTCTAAATCAGCCATGTCAGTGACCAGGATACCATTTTCCCAGTGTATCTATCCAGTGTTTAGAATGATGTATTTTATCAAATCATCAACCAGAATTTATTGAGAGCTTTCCTTTTTTTTTTTTTTTTTTTGTGAGGAGGACCATCCCTAAGCTAACATCTGATGCCAATCCTCCCCTTTTTTCTTGAGGAAGATTGGCCCTGAGCTAGCATCCGTGGTCATCTTCCTCTACTTTATATGGGACCCCGCCACAGCATGGCTTAACAAGCGATGTGCTGGTGTGCGCCCGGGATCCGAACCTGCAAATCCTGGGCCACCACAGCGGAGCGCATGCACTTAACCACTTGTGCCACTGGGCCGGCCCCTTGAGAGCCTTTCTAAGTGTAAGTATCCTGATGAGACTCCTGCTTTCAATGATTTTTGAGTCTGGTAGAAGGAACAAGACTAACACCTATGAAAAAGTCTCAAGCAAAGCAAGAAAGTGTATAATAAAGTGCTCAATGGGTAAGTGGAGTTTAAAAGGCTATAAGAAGCACAGAGAAGAATGACTAAAGAAAACTAAACTTAATTTGTAGAATTTACAGTTTCTTAGAATTGAAGAACTGATTTAAATTCTGTTTTCTTAGCCAAGAGAAGATGTGCTATTTATGTTTCTTCTAAATGATGCTAAAGCATTCAGGTGAAAAGTAGCATAATTTTGTATGTTATCTAGGTTTAGCTAAATATCTCATTTTGTCAGGTTCACAAACTTTAATGTGTGTAGGGGCTAGGAATGTGGTGCACATTAGTGACGTGAGCTGGTGAGGGGTCATCGGGAGTAAAGATGAATCCCTGGCCCGTCCAATGGAGGCACTGGGAATCCCAACCTAATGCTGGCACACTGTGTCATATTTTTTAAAAATCTGAAAAACCAAATATTTTTTTATGTAAAATCTCCCAATTTGTAAATATTAGCAACAAAGAAAAATATTTTTAAATGTATTACAGACCAAGTAAAACACATCTACAGGCCGAAGGAGTGCAGGAATATTTAAAACATGGGTTATTTATGTGTGGTGGTGGGTGTAATGGGAATACATGGGAGGGAAGTGGTAGCAGAGACCAGATTCCACCAGCGCGGGCCAGCTATGGGAGGAAAAGGGTACTGTATCCTAACAGTAATGAAGGATTTTAAACAGAAAATGATGTGACTACATTTGCATTTTCAAAAGTTCTTTGTGGATGGATATAGTCTGAGGCACGGATTGATGTGGGCAAAATTGTTGCCAGGGAGATTAGGTAGGAAGTTGTTGCAGTATTTAAGATATATATGTGTGCTTAACGAGTAACGTATATATCCTATACTTCATATATATGATTATCTATCTATCTATCTATCTATCTATCTATTTATCTATCTATCTATCTATCACCTATCTATCTATCTATCTAACTTCCTCTGGCAAGAGCATTGTAAGGTATGGGGCCAAAACATCTTTTGCCTCAACAAATAAGCATAAGATAAGAACTGGATAATTTTGGTTTCCTTTTAATAACTTTTTCCTGATTACAAATGAATCACCATGAAAAATTTAGAACATTCAGAAAATCACAGTGAGAATAATTACAAGAACACATAAGGCCGCCTCCATCATTACCTAGTGTTCAAAGTCTGTGTCACTGAAAGCATCTAAGATCAGGAACCAGATGGAAAGCTGGTGTGACTGCAGCATGGGACATATCTTTGGGACCCTCTAAAAAAACTGGGTGAGGGCAGAGACATTTTAAGGGAGCTAACTTCCTCTAGTCACCCTACGGCTTAGAGGTTTGTGCTGCAATAATTCAGATATGATCAAAAAAGGATAAACTATTCACAGGCTGGTGAGCCATGGCACCTATGGATTATAGAAACACCCGTGATTATTTCTTTAGGAATTAGGACTTGGAAACCTAGAATTAGTATGTCAAAGGATAGGTATATTTTAAGGCTTCTGTTAAGTACAGCCAATGCCCAGGCTAGCAGTACAAAATTGTAATTACTCTCATTTTCCTCATCAAAATTGGTTATCAGTGTGTGTGGCTGATTGTGTTTTCCAAAAATGGCTGCAAAATGTTTCCCACCCCCTGTGTTCGTTGTACATGTGCTTTTGACACTCCTCCCCTCAAGAAGTAAGGTCTTTGTTCCCTCTCCTGATGTTGGGTGGAATCATGACTGACAAAAAGGATGTGGTGTGATTTCCAAGGCAAGGTTATAAAAGGGAAAGTTTTCATCTGACTTCTTTTGGGACACTTGCTTTTGGAAGTCAGCCATTCTGTGGTGAGGAAATCAAATAGTCACATAGAGAGACCATATGTTGATGGCCGGTTGACAGCCAATCTGAGGTCAGCCACCAGACATGTGAATTAACGAGTTTTCCCAGCTGAGCATCCAGACAGTGTGGAACAGAGACATTTGTCCCCTTTCTGAATTCCTGACAAACAGAATCCACGAGCCTCATAAAATGATGGTTCCTTTATGCCACTTAATTTAGGGTGGTTTTTGCACAGCAATAGCTAACTAGAACATTGTGTGTGTTCAACAATTTGAACAATTTGAAAGGTAAAACGTGGTATCTCATTATTGTTTAAATGGCATTTCTTTAAATGTCTATTGGGCTAGTTTTCTTTCTTTCCCCTTCCTTGCCACCTTTCTTCCTTCTTTTCTTCTTTTCTTCCTTCTCTCCCTCTGTCTCTTTCTTTCCTCTCTTTTCCTCTTTCCTTCTTTCCATTTATATTGCTTTTGAGAATTACTTCATCATTAAGAATTTAAATTTCAGAAAGAATTACATTCTGCATCCCCGGTGATTCACCAATGCCACACAGGCACTTCTATTAATAATATCATCAGTAAAATAATACAAGAGGGTGGATGATACGTACATGCAACTAAAGAAACAACTTAGGTTTATCGTATATCTCTCACTTTGCTCCACTATTAATGATTTCAGGGAATTTTCCTATGACTTCTCCACTTCCTGAGTTTACCCAGAGAACCCATGGCAGAGGGCAGATTCTGTATCACCACCTAATATCCCTTGTGCCAGACTGGAGGCTGGCTTGCGATGACAGACTGTTACCTCAGTTTGTGGTAGTATTATCTTGCTGTTTCAGATGTTGGAGTCTTCCCTTTGCAGTTGATCTTAGTCTTAAAGTGAATGGTGTGCTACCTCAATTTTCCTGTTAGATAATCCAGAGTGAAGCAATAATGTAAGAGATACAGGGTCTGAGTGTCATTTATTTTCGAATTATAGGAATAAAACTAAGATTTTGTGTAAGATCTGACATTTCTTCAATCTAGCACCGTAAATCTACAAGCAATCTCAAAGATGTAAAGAATCCTAGGAGGGAGTTAGGGGTAAAACAAAGGTAGAAAATTCACAGCATGTCATCCTTTACTGACCCGGGCAAGATTTTGTGTTTGCTGTACTGATCCCAATGACAAAGTGAGTGTATCTTCCTATGAACATTCTTTAGATGTGGCTTCTTGCTTATTACATGTATGGTCATCCAAGGATGTGTTAAGTCGGCTATGCACAAGGATCTTTGAGTCTACATAGCCTGGCTCCTGTCCGATCCCCACATAGGGGTCTTTCTCGATTGCCTGTCTTCTTCTCTGGAATGTGAGCTTCGGGACAGAAGATGCCTTGTCTGATTATTCACTGACATGTCACCAGCACCTGGGACAATGCCTCTGCATAACAGACACACAATCATCATTCCAGACCATTCCAAAAAAGTCTGGACCAATATAGAGCCTGTTCAAATAGTCAAGCCAAGAAAAAGATAATGAGATCAAATACAGTCTTTTCTAAAAACTGTAACACTTAGATGAACCTATTGAGCATTTGCTATGTATTCCAAGGCCCCACATATTCAGACCGTCTTCCTCTTTAGCTGTGGCATCACTATCTGGGATGCTCTCAAATCTCAGAAATCTCACTGTGAAACCTTATGACACAGGGTTATTGGATTTTGTTAGGTAACTGTTTGTGTGCTTAAAAGACTCACATTGAAAGAGTTTCTTCCATATTCTCCCTGGGACTAGTCAGGTAAAAAAACTCCATTATTGGGGCCAGCCGGGTGGTGTACCAGTTAAGTTCTCACGCTCCGATTCAGCAGCCTGGGCATGGATCTACGCACCACTAATCAAGCCATGCTGTGGCAGGCATCCCACATATAAAGTAGAGGAAGATGGGCACTGATGTTAGCCCAGGGCCAATCTTCCTCAACAAAAGGAGGAGGCTTGGCAACAGATGTTAGCTCAGGGCCAATCTTCCTCACCAAAAAACAAACAAACAAACAAACAAAAAAACCTCCATTATCTCACCAAGTAATATTTTGAAGGGAAAAGGAGTAAGAGATCCAAAAATTAATGATTATCTTGTGTCATGTGCTACAAAACATATGTATGTAAGTATATGTCAATCCTCCCAGCAAATTTATGTCTGATCCTCCCAGTCTGAAACTACTACAGATTTGGGGGCTCTTTAAAAAGAAAGCAGGCCAGCCCCAGAGGCCTAGTGGTTAAGTTCGGGGTGCTACGCTTTGGCAGCCCAGGTTCAGTGCCCAGTCGCAGAACCACATCACTCATCTGTAAGTAGCCATGCTGCAGCAGCAGCTCACATAAAAAAAAAAAAAGAGGAAGATTGGCAACAGATGTTAGCTCAGGGCAAATCTTCCTCAGCAAAAAACAAAAAAAGAAAAGAAAGAAAGCAACACAAAATTTGGACTACTAAAGAATGAAATTGTTTTTAAATGTAAAAATAAATCACCACAAGGTAGAAATTTACAAAAGCTCATGAACATATAAAATCTAAAAAAGCAGCATGTTTTATTATCTAATTGAAACAGTTTCATAACACTTTTTTCTCTATATGTTTTTTGCTGTGTACCTCTTGATTGCTCCTTCCTAGTGGTATTTTCTATACCACTTTCTATGAGGGTATAGAAAGATAAATTAGTCTTCCTTCTGGCATGGTTGGTCAAAATATGTTTCTCATTTCTCATTGTTTACAAAGATTTATTTCAGCCTCACTACTTATTAATGGTAAAGTATATTTTTAGGATTGCTGTCAAATTTGGGAATAAGTCTATTAAGTTTATTTAATTTAGAAGGCATAAGGTTTAGAAGAAAAACTTCTGTCTCCATACATTTCAAGCCCGTGACTTCTGCATACGACACACTTGAGGGCTGTGCACACTGGACACCACCGGACGTGTTGCATTGCACACTGACCTATGTCCTTGCACCTTTGTATTACAATGTCAAGTGAATCGGCAGAGTAGGCAATAAGGTTATTTCTAGAACTCACTTCTACACTATGAGAGCTAGTAGTAACTTAACTACACGCAGCATTATCTGTGAACCATGTAAATATATCACCAAACCCCAAATGAAATGTATCTCCAGTTCAGCTCTCCTTAGACAAATCCCCAAATATCCCGGGTTACTTCAGTGCAGCCTGACGGGAGGGACAGTGAGATGGGAAGAATGATGGGGTGCAAGACGAAATGGACTTTATGAACACCAGTTAAAATGTGATTTCTTGGGGAGAAAACAAACCTCCTATCTCTATTGGGCTGTCCGTGCTCTGATTCTGACTCGGCCGTTTATTTGGTGTGTAATCTAAGGCAAGTAAGTTATCTCTTTGTGCTTTGCTTTAATATTATTTCCCATTTCATAAGTTGTCGTGATAATTAAAAGATTTAATGGATATAAAGGGCTTAAAACTGTGCCTGGTATAGAGTAGGAGTCACGAAATGCTCTGTTTTTGTTGCACTAAACACTGTGTCTGATTGTCAGGGATATTAATGTGGCCAATAAACTTTTGTATAAAATGTTTTACATTTAACTTTGAATGCAAAGATAAAATAACAATTCTAATGCCAAGTCTGAAAAATGAAAGGGATTCTGGATATAGTTACAGATCTGTATTACTTGACTTAAAATAGTTTGTTCTTGGATCACAAATTATGTAAAAAAAGATGTTTGGAAAAATAAGACAAGAAGCTGGGAAGGGGTATAGTGCTAACAGCTCAAACAACCTGTCATGGTGTGATTATTTAGGCTCACATCTTTCACTTTATTCGTCATTTGCTTATTGGCACTGACAACTCAGCAAGGAAAAGGGCAAGAGGGTTAGGTAACGATGCATCTTTAGGATAAGTCTTACTCTAAATGTCTCCAAGATAGAGAAGTGAAACAAAAGTGTTGGTGAGATTTTGCCAAGAGTGAATATCCTGGACTCCCATGTTTATAAGCAGTATTTAATGTCTCCCCAAAAGGTCATTATTATAGGCACATAGAAAATGTGACTTTTAAACAATAGGAAAAGAAAATCAAGAAACCAGGAGAAGATCTTTAAATTTCTACTCATGGAATGGGACCTATGATCCAATTTAGATTCAACTTGTTTCCTCACTGTTGAAGACCAAGCCCCTAAAGTTTCTTTTCTTTCTTTCCTTCTTTCTTTCTCTTTCTTTCCTTCCTTCCTTCCTTCTTTTTTTCTTTCTTTTTCTTTCTTTCATTCTTTCGTTCTCTCTCTCTCTTTCTCTCTCTCTCCCTCCCTCCCTCTCTGCCTCCTTCCTTCCTTCCCTTCCTTTCTTTCCTTTCTCTTGCTCTCCCTCCCTCCCTTCCTCCCTCCCTCTCTCCCTCCCTCCCTCTCTCCCTCTTTCTTTCCTCTAACACATCTCCTCAGGAAAGGCAAGGTGTAGACGTTGAGGCCTCACCGAGATGGAGTACAGAAAAGATAAAGAAAAATGAAAGAGGAATAGTGGGACCTCTTGCCAGGAAAATTTCTTCTATTACTTTTCAGAGAAAATAGTCAGAAAAGTAAACTTAAAAATTCAATGCTTGGGGCTGGCCTGGTGGCACAAGCAGTTAAGTGTGCGCCCTCCACTACAGTGGCCCGGGGTTCGCCAGTTCGGATCCCCGGGCGCACACCGACACACCGCTTGTCAAGCCGTGCTGTGGCGGCATCTCATATAAAGTGGAGGAAGATGGGCATGGATGTTAGCCCAGGGCCAGTCTTTCTCAGGAAAAAAAAAAAAAAAAGAGGAGGATTGGCAGATGTTAGCTCAGGGACGATCTTCCTCACAAAAAAAAAAAAAAAAAATTTCAATGCTTCCTAGACTTCATGCCTAACAAAATTTTTCCAAATGACATAAAATTATTCAGGAGCCGTTTGAATTACAGGGATCCATATAGAGCAGCCCTGATGTTTTCACACATGTTTATGCTGTGAGCTCTCACTGGCCTACGTTTACTCAGCAGATGGCAAGGCTTGTGACAGGGTCAAACAGCCTCCTGACAAGAGAGCAGCTCATTTTGCGCAAGGGACCTGTGAGGTAGCCCTCTCTGCCAGTAAACACGTGGACAGGCCAGGCTGCTCCCGGGGAACTGAACTCCAGAAGCCACAGAGGGGAGGGAGAGGGACCAGCAGAGGCAGCTGAACTCCAGAAGTCTTTCCGACAGAAAAAGTTTGACAAATTATGACCAAGACCTAAAAAATCACAATTAAAATTTTTTCCTAGTAGTGTAATTTTTTATTAAAGAGACTTTATATCTGGAACACAAGTTGGTAAATCATAAAGAATACACCTTGAAACTTTCTTTTAAATAAAGAATAGCATTTCCAAAATGACTTTTTTATTCCCTTTTATTAAATTCTTCTTAGAAAAGAAATACACAGAGACCAATGACTGTACGGTGTTGGGATACAAAGGCTGGCCTCCTTTGCCTTAATTTGGAATGGCCATCGGCTCAGAGTCCGGTGTGAGGTGCGCTGGGCCTCAGTTGCCCCTGCATGGCAGGTCAGTTTCTCCCTTTGCCCACCCTGCTTTCTTCACTTCCTGCAGGTGTATCTCCCAAGAGCAAAGAAAGCCTCTAGAATAGCAATGCACTCCAGATTCTTGAGAAACAGAGTAAAAAGGTTTTGAACCTGAGACAAGACAGCACAAAGTTCTTTAACCATGGAAACTTCATGAAAGCAGGTGGTTTTTTGTTGGTGGTGGTTTTGTTCTTTTGTTTGTTTGTTTACTCCTTAAACCCCAGTACCTTAACGAGAGTTTGACACATCATAGGTGCTCAAAGAATATTTGTCAAATAAATGAACTAGTTCATGGTTTTCTCAAGCGACTTTTGGAGCTCTAGACCACTTTCCATTAAGAGAGTTGAGACTTAAAAAAGTAACTGTTGGAGAAAGGGGATGACAAGAAATAGGGAGTCCTGTGATCAGCTCGCTTATTAGTTGAGAGATTTTCCTACCATTGAAAGTTTAAACATTGTGCTAAGAAACATTGGGGAGAAAGATCTTGTGGATTGTTTTAACTCTGGATATGTCTGATGATCTTCATTTAAGAATGTAAGTGTATCTCTTTTTCTACGGATAAGGACTTGTAGGAATACATCCAGGTAATTATCCAGAATAATTCCTCAGTATCACTTAGAGAATCATATAATGAATGGTAAGTCAAGGTTATTTGATAACATTGCCGAAAATCAGCAACTTGTTGCTCAAAGCAAGTAATTTGATGGAATTTAAAAATTTAATGGAAAAAAACTCCATTGTTTTAGGATTCTTGAAAGTAGCTTCTATAGCCAAGCCTCCAAAATTTTCCAGTAGCTATTCATTTTCAAAAACATTAACCTTCATATTAGCTATCATCTATTTTCCAAGTTTCCAGTCTCTGTGTTGTATATTTGTGATCGAGGCATTTTTTTTTCAGCTATATTGAGGTATAATTGACAAATAAAATTGTAAGATATATAAAGTGTGCAATGTGATGATTTGATATACGTATACATTATGAAAGGATTGTCCCCAACAAGTTAATTAATGTCCATCACCTCACGTATTTACCTTTTTTAAGTCTACTCTCTTAGCAAATTTCCATTATACAATATAGTGTTATCAACTATAGTCACTGTGTTATACATTAGATCCTCAAGCCTTATTCATCTTATAACTGAAAGTTTGTACCCTTTTACCAACCTTTCCCTATTTCCCCCAATACCAAGCCCCTGGCAACTACCATTCTACTCTCTGTTTCTATGAATTCAACTTTTGTTTTTAGATTCCACCTATAAGTGATACTACATGGTATTTACCTTTCTCTGTCTGGCTTATTTCACTTAGCATAATGACCTCCAGTTTCCTCCATGTTGTCGCAAATGGCAAGATTTCCTTCTTTCTTAAGGCTGAATGATATTCTATTGTGTGTGTGTGTATATGTATATGTGTAGGTAATAACTCTCTTATCCATTCATTCATCAACGATGTACTTAGGTTGTACCCATACATTGGCTTTTGTAAATAATGCTGCAATGAACATGGGAGTAGAGATATTTTTTCAAGATAACGATTTCATTTCCGTTGGATATGCCCAAAGTGGAATTGTTGGATCATATGGTAGTTCTATTTTTAATTTCTTAAGGAACCTCTATACTGTTTTCCATAGTGGCTGCACCCTTTTACATTTCCACAAACAGTGCACAAGTGTTCCCTTTTCTCCACATCCTCACCAGCATTTATCTTTTGTCTTTTTGATTACAGACAGCGTAATAGGTGTGCGGTGATATCTCACGTGGTTTTGATTTGCATTTCCCTGATGATTAGTGATGTCGAGCACCTTTTCATGTACTTGTTGGCCATCTGCATGTCTTCTTTGGAAAAATATCTGTTCAGGCCCTTTGCCCATTTTTAATAGGGTTATTTGTTTATTGTTATTGAGTTGTATGAGTTCCTTGTATATTTTGGATATTAGCCCCTTTTGAGTATGTGTTTTGTAAATATTTTCTCTCATTCCATGGGTTACCTTCTCATTTTGTTGATGGTTTCCTTTGCTGCACAGAAGCTTTTTAGTTTGATGTAGTCCCACGTTTGATTTTTGCTTTTCTTGCCTTTGCTTTTAATGTCAAATCCAAGAATTCATTGCCAAGACCAATGTCAAGGAGCTTACATGTTTTCTTCTAGGAGTTTTACAGTTTCAGGTCTTACATTCAAGTCTTTAATCCATTTAGGGTTGCTTTTGGTGAGTGCTTAAGATAGTGGTCCAGTTTCATTCTTTTGCATAGGGGCTATCCAGTTTTCCCAACACTGTTGAAGAGACTATCCTTTCCTCATTCTATATTCTTGACCTTTTGTCAAAAATCAATTGACCATATATGCATGGATTTATTTCTAGTCTCTCTATTCTGTTCCATTGATTTATATGCCTGTTTTTACGCTGAAATCATACTGTTTTGACTACTATAGCTTTGTAATAAAGCTTGAAATCAGGTAATGTGATGCCTCCAGCTGTGTTCTTTTCTCTGAAGATTGCTTTGGATTTATGAGGTCTTTTGTGGCTCCTGGGAATTTTAAGATTGTGTTTTCTATTTTGTGAAAAATACCATTGGAAATTTTTATAGAGATTGCAATGAATCTGTAGACAGTTAGATCTTTCTGGGCAGTATTGACATACTAACAATATTAATTCTTCCAATCCATGAACATGGAATATCTTTCCATTTACATGTGCCCTCTTCAATTGCTTTCATCAATGTCTTATAGTTTTTAGTGTACAGATCTTTCATGTACTTGGTTAAATGTATTCCTAAGTATTTCACTCTTTTTGATGCTATTGTAAATGGGATTGTTTTCTTTATTTCTCTTTCTGATAGTTCATTGTTAGTGTGTAGACATGCAACTGATTTTTGTAAATTGATTTTGTATCTTGAAACTTTACAGGGGGGTATTTTTTTATGATGAGGTTGAACTTCCCTTGCCATCTCATATGTTTCTGATTTCTCACCATAAGATGTTCTTGCTCAAGGAAAGCAGATGCCCATCCCTCTGAAGACAAACTTAGGAATGTAAATATAGTGGATATAAATTCTTGCAAGTATATGTTTATAGATTTGTGAATGTGGGTCTATGTGTGAGTGTCTGTCATCTGTGAGCACATGCATGTCCCATATGGGATGAACTGAGACACCTCTTCTTTTCATTCAGTGACAAACTTGAGGCCATTAGCCCAAATGCCTGGGCAAACAGGTGGTCCTTCACGCTTAAGAAGGAAGCCAATATCTGTAAGCACAATAATCCTGGGGCTGTCATTAAATAAGGACTTGGATCAAGTTATGTGCTTTCTTTACGGAAGAGCAGAGTAGGCTCTCTTCAGAAAAAATAATTCGGTGGAGTGAGGAGTGATGATGAGTAAAACCAGTGGCAGGCTTTTCTGATCTCATCTCAGAGCCACCAAAATATAAATAGAAGCCTCTTTACATTAGCGTAGGGCTCAGGCCTTAAGAGGCAGAAGCTACAAGTCCAGGAAGGGTCAGAGACCCTAGACTCCTTTCTCCCGTGATGTGCAAAGCAGTTCCAGTGGAAGACAGTGGGGCTACCAGGACCCATTGGGGTTAGCATACACGGAGGGGAGGGTGTCCCTCTTTCTGAATCTGAAAAGGTTGGGATGAGAATGCTTCCAAGTAGGGCCCCTGCAGAGGTCTAAATGGTACTTCTCACTCTCCTCCCCAAGTGTACCAAGTAGTCACATAAAGTTACAACTTCTTGTCGTTTTACTCAGTTCCTCTTCAGGATGCTTTCCTGACCCTTCAATAAAATACGTGCTCATACTTCTACTGAAGTTAACTGCAGGTTGGCCTAAGAAAGATGGACATAATTTGTCTCAGGTGGCACCACCCTGGTCCTCCTATGTTTGTGTTCTCCCTGTGGATAAGAGAAGTATCCCTGCAACAAAGGGACGTGCCCACTCAGAGCAGTGGCTTCAGTTCTGGGCTTCATTCCAGTTACCTGGGATGCCAGAATAGCCTGTCCAAATGTCCCTGAGTCCACTGGAAACCGTGCTGTCCTCAGCTGTGGGTAGGCTTTTTAAAGGCAAACTCTTCACCAGTATGGATGTGCAAGGAGTTGGCCAAGAGGTAATTATTTGTTGGGGGTAAGGGGGACTCTAATAGGCAATTGGGGTGCATTGTGGGAGAATGAAGTAAGCTAAAATACGTAATGTGCATAGAGCAGGGCTGTGACACAGTAAGTGCTCCATAAATTTTAGTGGCAGCTATTATATTATGTTATTATTATTACTACTACTATTATTGCACTGCATCTTCTTTTTCTCATCTCTAAAATGAAGAGATTAAATAGACAATTGATGTATTATATTCTGTTATATGATTCTGTAATATAGATAAACAGAATAATATTTTATATTATTATTATTATAAATTACCCATAGCTAGAGACGATATTTCTCTTACCCTTTTTCTTCATTTTTATGAGGGATTTTTCAACCATGTCTTGTGCAGTTTAAATCCTACATACATGGTACTACTTACTTTTTCCTACTGGAAACCTTATTTTGGAGGAAGAAGTATCCATTTAGAGTGATTGCTCACACTCAGGTTTTTTTTGAGGAAGATTAGCCCTAAGCTAACATCTGTTGCCAATCCTCCTCTTTTTGCTGAGGAAGACTGGCCCTGGGCCAACATCCATGCCCATCTTCCTCCACTCTATCTGGGACACCTTCACAGCATGGCTTGACAAGTGGTGCGTCGGTCCACTCCCGGGATCCGAACCTGCGAACCCCAGGCCGCTCGAAGTAGAGCGCACAAACTTAACTGCTACATGCTGCCGGGCTGGCCACCACACTCAGATTTTTAACTGCAGGAACTCAGATTATGCTTTCATATGTGATGATCTAACCCACACCACTCTCTTCTGCTCTCAGTAGATTGAAAAAGTCAGCTTAAACTGAAATCATACTGTATTCAAAAAAGAAATTGTTATCCCTGAAATTGACACAGTTCTTTCAACTTGAAAATGATGGATTTAATTCTTCACTGATAACAAAAAGACATAAAATTTCAGCCAGATGGAATGTAATGGCAATTGGAGAATTTTAGATATGTTGAGTGTCGAAAGAATCAACAAGGAGGCAATAGCATTCAATATGCGACGAATTCAAGTTTAAAGAAAATTCAGTTAAAACAATGTTCCATAGAATAAAATAATTTGACACAGATTGGGCAATTTTCAAAATAAATGATTATATATCTAAATACTGAAACACACCCACTCTAACACCAAATTTTCAGACACCTTGGGCTGAACAAGGTGGGTTAAGGAAAGTGCCTTTCCTGCTTGAGAGCGTACGCAGGCTTATGGGACATCCATGGGCCTACAGCACTCTTTTTTGCTCTGTAGACGCTCAATAAATGCTAGCCCACTGACGGAGCATTCTCTTGTGTGACTGATTAGTCCTGCAGGGGATTCAGAACTACCCATTGTTCATCTAATTCTAATGCTATTCAGTCTCTCCAAGGCCTCAAAAAGAGGCTTGGCCAGTCCACTGGGCCGATGGATTAAGAACATCATTAGAGGCTCCCTCCTGTGTTACACATTGGCTTCATCAAAAACAGATTTAAGATGATTAACTCATTGCCCAGGAATGATCTGCTCCCCTTCCTCAGGACCATAGCCAAAACAGCTGCTCACAAAGCAGGCCCTAATCCCGCAGCACGAATGGCAAGCTCTCCTTAACACGCCTGTTGGAAGGTAATGTCTGTAGCAGGCTGCGAGATCCTAGCATGGCCTCGATGGACTATTCAAGCATTCTTACCTTCAAGTGATATTTTCTACAAAAACTGAAATGTGTATTTCAAATCAGAAAACTACAGAAATATTTTGGCCAAGGGAATAGAGTCATGGCCTGGAGCCAGGAGACACATACAGAGGTTGTTTCCCTGCCACAACACTACCAATTTATTGCATGACCTTGAGCAAGTCAGTTAACCTTGGCTGATGTATTATTTACTGAGCAAAATAGTGTTCTAGAAGATATGAAGGGCTCATAATGGATTCCATATATATGCCTATAAGGCATTCACAGAAGGGAACTGGGGCTTCCTGACTAAATTAAAGGCCAGGCCCTGTCAAGTCCACAGCAGGGAAAATCTACATCTTCTGGAATTCATACAGCTGTGAGTACATCCATTAGAGATCTAGGTTTGACGCCTACATCACGAGCACCTAAGACCTTGGCTCCTCTGCTACAACTTGCTGTCCCCCAAGAACAGCACACAATACTGTGGGATAAGACAGCCAGCAGTCAACTGTTAAATACAAAATGAATGCAACCAAGAACAAGTGGCCAGGCATTTCAGGAAAAGAAATGTCAAGCATGCAAAAGCAGAAATAAAAATATGATAATGCCTTTAGAAGTATGCCTGGCAAGTAAGCGCAAGTGTCCATATTAGGGAGGATTCCCAGTATGCCAAGGGCAAAGGGTCCATTTCTCAAGCTGCCTACAGCGACATCATGAAAGGCCCAGCAGCAGAGTCTCCAGGAGCTGCCATCCACACCAGATCCTTGTCAACTGGCTTGTGTTGTATTTTGGTCAGTTTCCATGGATTTCAGAATAGTCAAGCAAATTATTCTGGAACAAATTACTTCAAACTAATAACACAAAACTACTTTGATAAACTAACATCCATCTCCCTGAACCACCGCACGGTTGTTATTTTCTCCTGTATGGGTGTCTCCCCACTGACTGTGGCACCTGGAGGGCTGGGCCTGCATCCTGTTTACCAAGTAGTCACAGAACCTAGCCGACGCCTGCTGTAGCGCGTACAAAGTAATGTTTAATTGATGAGTAACCTGATGAAGGAGTAAAAATAGCTGTCCAGACAGTTAAAAACAGAATAAGCATAGGCTGAAATTATATTTGTTAACTAAAGTGAAGGAATAAAGCATCCACAGTAGAAAAAACTGTTGGTAGAGTAGTTTTCTGTTAGTGGAGATCTTGCCCATGTGTCTTAAGGAGTTAATGAAGTGGCTTTTTATGGAGATGGAACGAGCAAGGCTGCTTAAGGAGACCCAGGGACAGCATCTGTGGTAGATGTGCTTTCTTCAAGTAATTTAAATATGGAACTAAAACAATGTTTTTAGAATGAGTATTTTCTTTTTATGTAAGAAGAAAATATAACTTGGCTTACCGTCAGCATTTATCATCTCTTTGCTTCGTCTATCATTCCTGTGAAATAGGAAACTGAAATGGCAGAATGTCTCCTCTGAGACTGAGAAAGAAAAATCTCCATCAAATCAGTCCAAAAATATCCTGTCCACCACAGTAGTTCTTGTAGGACAAGGTTATACTAACGGGGATGTCATTGTGTGGGAGCGGGGTAGAGAACATTCGTAAAAGCACAGCAATACGTATCCAAAAGGAATGCTGTGGGAATTTATCAGTGATTTCTCCAATTAGAGCCGGAGCCTTGGAGCTTAGCTCTGAATCCACCCGCCAGGGAGTAGTATCAGCACTAGCTAAATAAAGGATAGAGTTGTCTGAAACACTCCTGACATGCCGAGTTTAAGGCGTGTTCAGACTTTAACCCAAGGCAGCTGATGCTGAATAAGCAAACTGTTTGATTGTTATCACAAATATCAGCACACGCCACTGTACCAGCTGCCTGGAGCCAACAGAAAGGTTCTCAATTGTTACTGACCTCAAGTTATTACCAGTTGTCTATTGAATAGAAAGTGATGTAAGCATTAAACCAACATATATGAACATCATTCCTATACTTTTTAGCCTCTCTGCTATGAATACATGAGACATAGATCCACATATATCCCCAGATGGTTTTCTGCAGTTAATTCAAAATAAGGAATTCTGAGTTATATTAATCTTCACGGGAGCTATTTTAGACCATTCGGAATTGATATCGAGATTTATACCTCCATAATGCAACAGCATATCAATTCATCAAATATTCACGATCATAAAGAGCCTTATACTGTATATGTGGGATCAGACATTGAAATAGTAAAATCCCAAGGGTTGGCAGTATTAATGTTTCCATTTAAGAGGAAACGTGATATTCAACTTTGAATAAATTAGAGATTTGCAATGCTTCTTTTCAGGATGAGATATCATTATCTTTCATCAAAAGTGCCTTATTCTAAGTGGACAGTTTATGAAGGAGAAAATATTTAAAATATTTAATATATTTGACTGTACAGAATTTTGGTTAACAAAGATTGAATTTAGACCGGAAAATAGACTGATAAATTTGATCACATAAAAATCCAAGATAAGTGCATAGACAAAATAAAATAAAACAAAATACAAAACAAAGCAAAAACCCTACATTTCAAAACAAAGACTATAAGTAAATAAAATGAGAATAACAAACTCATATCATAAAGGGTTAATTTCTGCAGCTGGCCTGGTGGCGTAGTGGTTAACCTTGTGCATTCTGCTTTGGTGGCCAGGGGTTCACAGGTTCAGATCCCAGGCCAGGACCTACACACTGCTCATCAAGCCATGCTGTGGCAGCATCTGACATACAAAATAGAGGAAGATGGGCACAGATGTTAGCTCAGCAACAATCTTCCTCAGGCAAAAGAGGAAGATTGGCAATAGGTGTTAGTTCAAGGCCAATCTTTCTCACCAAAATGAATAAAAATAAACAATAAACAGTTAATTTCTCTAATGTATAATGAGCTCTAAAAACTGAGAAGAGGAAGAACCCAATAGAAAAATAGTCAGAGATCAGAGCAAATAATTTTCCAGAAAAGGCACACGATATTTGCAAACATACAAAAAAGATGTTCAATCGCTTTTAAAAGTTTAATGAAAACTAAAACTACAATGAGATATAATTTTCCACCTATCAGAATCACAAAAACTTAAATGTTTGATAACACAGAATGTTGGTATGAGTGAAGGAAAACAGATGCTTCCATTTCTGGTGGTATTGCAAAATGTCAAAATCCTTATGAAAGATAATTCAAAACTACGAATGGATTTACTCTTTGACCCAGCAATCCCACTCCAGGGCAATTATCCTAAATGTATAGCTGCAAAAGTAAAAATAACATTTACACAAGGTTATCATGGCAGCATTGTTTGTAATCACAAAACATTGTAAAGGAATTATCTTTCTACAGCAGACTACTTAAACTATAGAGTACTTCCACACACAGGACTAGAACTCTGAAATATATGAATGTATGCAGCTAAAGGCCCCTACACACTTATATGGAAAGTTCTGCAGGAGCTGCCATGTGCCTAAAGTCCATCGAGTAAGCTACTGTTGTGTAAAACGGATAGGAAATAAGAACACGTATTTATGCATACTTATATTTGCATAAAGAAAAACTGAAAATATAAACGCAAAACTAATAAAAGTCGTTTCTTATTAGGGCATGAGGTATAATGGGAGAGGCAGAGAAGAGAACGGAAGCAAGCATTTGCAAAATTTTCCTTTCTGTATAAGGAACATGCAAATATTACCTATTCAAAAATAAAATAACTTCAAAACACAATGTACATTTTAAAGAAAAAACAGAAACCACCTACTTCATGTAGGTTAATTCCATGCATCAGTCCTTCTCCAAATTAAGATTTTTCATTATGGTATTTCCCAGGTGAATCTGTTTGCCAGATATCAAATTATCCACATATATATACAATATTAATGGATTGATTCTTCCATTTAAATCTGTAAATATTGTGAAGCCAACAGGTGTTGTGTCATTTTATAAACATTCCTATTATCCTGAATCAACCCACGTATATTGTATCAGCATTACTCGAAGTTGGATAGTGATATAAGTGTGTGTATTCACTGTTGTATCTTTGGCTGGTAAGATAGTGATTTGGTTTTCTACTTAATTCTTTAGAGTGCTTTTAAACTATCTGCTGTAAGAGTGTATTAATTTTATAATCAGAAAAAAATCAATAACAGTTGCTGTCAAGATTTTATTTCGTTGCCAACAAACTTGATTCAAAGAAAGACCACTAATATACAGCAAGTGCAATTAAAATGAGCGTCAACGCGATTTGGACTGGGCTTGATTGAAGACCGTGTGAACTTCAGCTCTCACGCGGTGCGAAAGGTGGCACACTTCCCTAACAACCTCGAGAAGCTGACTCAGCCCCACGAGCATAGTTAAAATACTGGATTGTTTCTAAAATCAGAGAAATTTCCCAGAAACAAGTAATACTCTGGGCCCACCAGTCAAGGCTGAATTCTCAGTCCGCTATTGTGCTCTGTGCTAATGATATAGGCTGCCCATTTCCTTAACAAGCTGGGTTTGTTCATTGGAAAATGTAACAAATAATTTCAAGGTTATGTCACTCTTGGCAAGCGCAGTGACGCTGGTGGAAAAAGGAAGTTTTCAGAGTAAGACGAAGACTGAAATCTTGTTTGGAACCCCAGCCTCCAAAGCCTGCAGTAGAACCATATTGTTCAAGTTCACAGGACACCCCTGTGCTCAGAGATATGAAATGCCAACTGGCTTTTAAAAGGGTGTAAGTTAGAAGAGATTAATTCGTTCAAATTTAGCCTTGACAAGTAAGAAAATAGCTTTGGAATATACATTTTATTCAGTGTGTCTTTCCTTTAAATGTCTGCTTGGTAAAGACTGCCTTGTCTTTGCTTCTAATCACAGGTAACTTTTGATTATTCAGGAGATGGTTATTTGCATGAATTTGAGTTCTGTATTTCTTTCCTCTTTCCCCCTTTTGTAATTTTTCTGTTTATTAGTCCTTCCTTCATTATACAAGCAAAGAAAGGGAAATTCAGCTGCAATAATTAGTTTGTTATAAGCCAATTTTATGTTAAATGTGCTATTCCCTGCCCATAGATAATTACTAGTGCTTTTAGGCCATATGATAGGCAAGCATTTATGGCGGCTAAGATGATCAACACTTGATGTCAGGATTGACAGTTGATGGATACTTTGGTCCTCCCTGGGCGCTATCACAACGGTTCACGCGCAGCAAGTGGACGCATGCATGTTTGTGCCGTTTTACCTTACCAGTCAGCTCCTCTGCTTATCCAAGCTTACAGTCTTCTCTGAAGAAGAGGAATTGTTTTGTTCTAAGTTCAGTGTCATGAATGGGATTTATCCTTCTTGGAAACCATGGCTTCCCATTTGCATTATAGCTGTGTAAGTTCTACTGACTGAAGGAAAGTGGGAATTTTAAAGGAGTTTAAAAGTCCTGTCATCCATCTCCCTTATTGGAATAAGACTTTGATAGGTGCCCCAGAAATTCTGAGTGACCCATACCAAAGAGGGAACCTGAAGTAAGAGAGAAGAGAAAGAAGTTAATAAGAAGGTATGTTGTTTATCTGTGGCTACCATTTCCATGTGGCTCTTATTAGAAGCTATTTCTCACTGCCCAAAATTATGCTGCTCAGTCAATAGAGGGTAGAGGCTCAGAACATTGATACCTGGAATTCTGGAAAAATCTAGGATATGTTGTTTCATCAGCCAGTTGGTTGTTGGTGATGTGGACCAGGGTAACCAATGGGATCAGTGAATTCAAAACTAAGTAATCAGCAGTAAAATCATCGATGCTACAAGGGAACCCAAAGAGGGAAACCTTACAGTTGGAATTTGACAAGGAGATCACTGGCTCTAGGCTCTGAAGTCTCACATTGGAGTTTCTTGGAAGAATGGAAAGTTTATTATTCAGCAAGTGGTGATAAAAGTCACATGACCCAGAGAGTAGTGGCAGAGCACAGCACAGAGGGAAAGATATTAAAGAGCAAAGAGGGATACAGACTGCAAGAAATAATGCAAGGGTAGCAGAAATAGCAGCAGTGCCAAGAATAGAGAAAATTTATGGTAAAACATCAGCTTCTAGCTCTGTAACAGTTGAATACTGAACTCATACAAATCACTGAGACAGACAACTCAATGAAAAAATGGGCGAGTTAGGCAGGCACTTCACAGAAGAGGATAGCCAAATGACCAATAAGCATATGGACAGATTCTCAACATCATTAGTCATCAGAAAAATACAAATTAATACCAAAGTGGGGTACCACTACACACCCAACGGAATGAGTAAAATTAAAATAAACCTGACAATACCAAGTATTGGTGAATCTTTATGGCAGCTCCATTCATAATAGCTGAAAATTTGATTCAACTCAAATATCCATCAACAGCAGAATAGATGAAAAATTTACAGTATATTCATATATAAATTACTACACAGGAACAAGAAAGATTGAACAACAGTTACACACAACGTGGATGGATCTCACAAAAATTATATTGAGTGAAAGAAGTCAGACAAATAAAAGTACCTATTATATGATTCCATTGATATAAATTTTAACAACAGGCAAAACTATCACATAGGGCTTGGAGTCAGAATAGTAGTTACTATTAGGGAGTATTGATGGAAAAGAGTATGAAGGGAGCCTTCTGGGATGCTGGGAATGTTTCATATATTGATCTGGATGATCATGACAAGGGTGTTTACGGGTGTTACACAGGGGTAAAGAGATATTGAGATGTACACTGAAGATTTGTGCACTTTACCTTGTGTATATTATACCTTCCAGAATTTTTTAAAAAGGAAACCAAACAAAAAGGAAAACAATTTTAATCAAGAAACCACTGCTGGGCCGGCCCTGTGGCTTGGTGGTTAAGTGCGCGCGCTGCAATGCTGGTGGCCCGGGTTCGGATCCCGGGTGTGCATCGAGGCACCACTTCTCCGTCCATCCTGAGGCCGAGTCCCACATACAGCAACTAGAAGGATGTGCAGCTATGACATACAACTATCTACTGGGGCTTTGGGGGGAAAAAATTAAATAAATAAAATCTTTAAAAAAAATAAAATAAAAGAAACCACTGCTGCCAACCAGCAGGGAAAACTATGAATCTCAAGGAAAGGACATCTCACAAGAGTCTTGAGCTGCGTTGAAATTTGCTTCTAGATACATGCAGTTAAGAAGTTTCCCATTGCCTAGTGAGAAGATACTAAACAAAACCACATTTATCTCATACATGTAATAATTAATGACACATGTGTCTAAGATAAGTAGTTTCACCTATAAGAGCTTGGGCTCATCTCAACTAATTTGTTTTCTCTTTTTAAAGTTCTAAGTTGAAGAATCCTGTTCAGGTAATTTAAACCTGGCATTAAGCACTGACGGTTAAGGTGATGATTCTCTAAACGGAAGCACTGCATTTCTAATCGCTTACATTTCCAATTTATGTGGTAATTCTCTCAGTTAAAACACATAAATGTTGTTGAAACTCTTTAAGTAAGTAAATATGTTAAGCCCCTTCCAGAAATGAAAACCAAATGACCAAATTCTGCCCCCAAAACGGCTAGTTGGTAAAGATCACTGTTAGGTGTCTCTGGGTGACCTAGGCAGGTCAGGTCTGCAGGGCACGTGGTGAGGTCATGACTCCATCATTTCACTCCCGCTGTGTAAAGCTTACTAGAGGCTTTCTCCCAGGAGACTTTCATTCCTTCGAGAACTGAAACCATCCCTTAT